TCTGCGGTGGCGCCCAATCTATGGAATGCGCTCCCCAGAGAGGTCCGCCTGGCGCCGCTGTTATTTGTTTTTCGGCGCCAGGTGAAGACCTTTTTATTTAAGTGTCATTTTAATTGTTAACAATATTTGCTTATTTATCTGGCCAGGGCGACTTCTTTTATATTGTTATTTATTTTATATTGTTAATTTTATATTGTTATTTTTGTATTTCATTGTATTTTATTTTGTGTTGTGAGCCGCCCCGAGGCTTCAGCAAGGGGCAGCATAGAAATGTTTTAATTAATTAATTAATTAATAAAAATCACTGTTTAAACTCTGCTACTAACAATTACCAATCCAATACCAAAGCTAATAAAAGAAACAGTACCAAAACCAGTAAAACGGATCAGCATCATGATGATCAGTTTATAAAACCAAAAAAAATCTGTACAAACAAGTACATGTCCAGAAAGCCTTTAAAACATATCTTGTCTACCCCCCAAAACAGCAGGCACATGTTCCAGAGGGCGTGGCTGCTTTTGAGAACTTATCTGGCAGCAGTCTATCCATCACAAAACAAGTCCTCTTAGGAAGATCTTAAAAGTCTACCAGGTGTACACAGAAGAAGTTCGTTTGCTAGCTATCCTGGCCCCATATAGTTTCTACTTTGCATGTCAACAACTTGAACATGGCTCTGTAGCTAACTCCAAAAAACCACAAGGCCAACCCTAAATAGAACGTGGCGCAATCACTGAGTTGTGAGGTTACCAGCACTACAGTGGCTATTTTGGTACAGGCATAATTGCTGCACTGATGCAAGTTGGCAATGGCTCTCCAAGTTCCTTGAGGTCATCTGGGCTTCCAGTAATGAAGATGAACCCAGGTACACTTCAGATGCGGTGCAACCCCATTCAAAATAGGCAAGCAGCTTCATTCCAAGACAGGGGAGCCACCCATACACTGTCTATCCTATAGGATTTAATTTCAGTTTACTGGTCCACAGCTAATCTAAGCACATCAAAGGACCAATTCAGAGTCAGCACAGCTTCTCCTGACTCAGGCTTTACGGAGAAAAGAATGCCAGATGTGAGTGTCATCAGCATTCTAGGGTCAGAGTCACAGACTAGTCTTTCAAGCAGAAACTTCACATGCATTCCTATTCTGGACAATTAGGGAAGACTTCTGCAACTCACCAAAACGGCAACCCACTTTATTAACTGATTACTATAAACATAGTAAACAGATGTTTAAGTCTGTGCACTGATCTGCAATAACATTTCAAAGTCAGCTCACAGGAACAAACTACATTTTAAAGCAGAAATGGACAGTAGGTAGCCCACTGTACCCTTGCATGCAGCCCCCCCAAACTGCTAAAATATGGCAGTGCAAGCAACATGAAAACCTGTGGCTTGCTGCCAAAATTTGGTGTAAAGCCCCCATGGGGATTTAAAGGGTCAAATTTAGCTTGTTTTCAAACTAAAAGTAGCCCTTTTGAGTTTCTGTAGAGATTTACTGCAAAATCCATTTGCTGTTGCAGGTGGTGCAGTGGCAGGAATAGGGCCCAGAGAAGGGTTCCAGGGGCTGTAGATGCCCCCCCCATCTGACTCTGTCCACCCAGTTCTAAAGCACTTAAGGCACAGTCCTACCACCCCTGCCCTTGATGTGCATAAGCTGATGAACTCAGAAGCTTACATGCATCCAAAGGCTGGAGTAAAGTGTAGCGATAACTATCTGTCGCAACATGCTCTGTGTATTTGATCGAGACAGATGTTTTCAGCCAACTATATAAAGCTGGCAGATAGTTATTGTTAACTATCTGGGGAAGGAAGGAAGCTGAGACATCACTAGAAATTGGTGTATGGAGGAGGCCCTAACTGCCTTCCCACTCTGAGGCACATTTGCAAGCTCAGAGGCAGCCAGCATGGACCTTTCCACACCAGCTGCAATGGAGGTAGAGCAAGGGATGCACCCAGCACCTAGTAAAGTTGCGGTGAGTCAGTAAGCAACCCTACTCCTACTGCCCAGGGAGAGCCAAGGACCAGGATCTACCTCATCCAAAGCCCAGCTGAACTTATGCTGGAAGGGAGGAAGCGGTGGTTTTACTTCCCCCACCCCTCTTTTCCAGCAATGTCATGCTCTTTCTGAATTCCCTCCCATTCATTTAATGCTTTGCTTCAATTTTAAGAAACATGATATAGTGCCTTCTAGCTTTTGATAAAAGCCCAACAATATCTCTGCAAAATGGGAACAAAGTGTCACTGGTTACCTCATGTGGAACTTCTTGCAGACGATCAAGAGCTCTGATATGATCCAGTGTATCTATAGATGGAGAAAGACCTCCATGGAGACAGAATATCTAAGCAAAGAAGAAAGGCATAAAGGAACCATGTGCATTGAGAAGACCTCTATGAAGAACAAATCAATCTTAACTTATTTTTTGATGTCTAGAATCAAATTGCTATGCAACTACTTCACATGATTTTGATAAGCGATACCTGGCTATCATGTCATGATCTATACCTGGGCTGTTTAACCCAAGAATGGCTCAATGTGGAAACTCTGTGCTGCTTACGGGTTAAACAACCCAGAGTCAACCCAACAAAACATGGTTTATTAATCATAGGTTGTTCATCTGAACATTCAATTGCCTCCTTGTGGTTGCTGAGGTGCATTCTCTGAGGTTTGCTGAGGTTCTTTCTCTTATTATTATTACCATGGTCTAGCATTATACCTGAACACAGCTTGTGTGTTAATACCCACAGTAAAACCTAATCAAATTTCACCAAGTTTAGCGGCATGGGGAAAATGGGAAAAAGTGGAGAAATATCTGAGCCGACAGACTATGATGCAAAAGAAGAAACGATTTCCCCCATTCCTTTCAACAATAATTGGTTTAACTGGATTTCAACAAATCCCTTCTACTCTCACATTCTGGTGCCCTCCGTATAGTTTGGAGTATAAAACTACGGGATTTGTGGCTCAACAACAAGAAGAAAACAGGGTAGGGAGCAAACAGAAGCCAAAATTCTAAGACTCTGTTATTGTTTCCTTGCTTTAGTCAAGGGGCATTTCAATAAATAAAACTGCTGTTACATATTCACTTTTCTGCCTGATTCCCATTCAATATAATTTAGGAGCACTAAAAGTAGCCATCTTTCCCAGAATGAAAATCATACATGGGGTGACTTTTAATGAACCCATCCACCAAATCTGAAAGGAAGTAGGGGCGTGTGTGTTTTACACACTTAACAATTTAAATTCAGGACGTAAAAATTAAGTCCTAGTATAGGACAATTCTATGACCACCAATCAAGGAAATCCACAGATGAGATGCAAAGCACTGTCTAAGTGCACTGGCCCTTCACACAAATGCATTAGTCTTGGGGAGGGTTTCCAGCAGCAGCAGCCAGGAATATGGTATCAGGGTCTAGCATTCAACCTTCACTTAATATTACTGTTTTATTCATTTTTTAAAGTCCATTATATGTAAAAGCAGCCTTTTTTCTTGCGAGGAACTCAAGGCAGCTTACATAATCCTCCCCTCCATTTTATCTTCACAACATTCCTGTGAGGTTGGTTAGGCTGAGTCAGAGACTTGCCTAAGTGAGCTACATGGCCAAATGGAGAGTAGAATTTGGGTCAAAGCAGTATGCCACACTGGCTCTCATATTACTTGATGATCTATATAAGTGAAGCAACAGTATCTTACCTGCCCATCTACTAGAGCTGTAAGTGGAAGATAATCAAACAGATCTGTAAAATACTTCCATACATTGGCATTTCCATATTTCCGTAGACATTCATCATAGAAGCCATATACTTGTGTGATTTGTCTGCTTTCATGGTTGCCTCGTAAAATTGTGATGCGCTCAGGGTAGCGCACCTAGCCATAGACAATAAAAAAAAATTGTATGTAACAATTCATCAACTAGCAATACCAATTACAGGCTAAGCAATATGTAGCATGTGGCATTGCAAATAATGTATACTAAACAATATAATGGAAGATACAGCTTCCCCCAGGTTTGTACCCATACAACTTACTTTTAATGCCACAAGAAGAGTCACAGTTTCTACAGAGTAGTAGCCCCTGTCAACATAGTCTCCCATGAAGAGATAGTTTGTGTCTGGTGATTTCCCACCAATTCTAAAGAGCTCCATAAGGTCATGGAATTGACCATGGACATCCCCACAAACTGTAACAGGACAGCGTACTTCTTGAACATTTGATTCTTTTGTAAGTATTTCTTTAGCCTAAAAAAGGAAAAAATGAGGTGATTAGATAGGAAGCTAAACTGCATGAATTATTTTTACAGCTAAATTACACAGAGTTCAAGAAAAACTCCTGCAACAGAAACAACACGGTGATCCAGTTGATTGTTACACCCTCAGTACTGTAACATGCAATCAAATGTCTGTTCAGCTAGCTAAGAGTAATTAGGTTGCCTCTCAGCAAAGGAACACTCGCTTTCTTGTCTATAAATGGAAATGATGACAAGCTATGACAAGGTCCCCAACATTTTGGATCCATGAGCACATCTGAGAATTTTACAAACTGCTGTGGACATCATCACAAAGCACCTAACCAGTGGATCAAGACTTTGGCATCTACCTGCCACACCTATGGATCTTATTCAACAAACACTTTTGTTTTGTGTCTCTTGGACACTATAACATCTTTTTTTAAAAAAGAATTGCCTAACTTAGCTAACTGCTGACAGTGCAATAGTGCTAGTGATTCTGCTAAATATATAACCTTGCAGGGTCCTCCGGTTGCCACTTTTTGAGTAGAGGTTATCACACAGATGAATTTTGTCCTGCAACAGACTTTAATATCTGGCGATATACAGGCTCTTTTAAATTATCTTCTTCCTCAAAATTAACACATGGTAAGTGTGAAAAAATTATCTGCTCCTATTTGACAGTTAAAACACTGATACTACAACACAGGAAATATAAACACTCCTCTGCTGTAAGACTGGGGAGTTTTGAGTATTTGAAAGTGGCATATGGGTGGCAACTTCAAATGGCTACTTAAATTTGAAAAAGCTAAACAAAAGATCAGGTGCTTATGGGTGCAGTGTTGGGGAACATAAAATTGTGACAATGAAAAACAAGTTATTTTAAATGCATTTAGGGAAACTTAAGGGGTAAGTGAATTTTTGAAGTGGCCCTTAATTGGGAGCAGTGGTTCTAAGATACTTTTGAAATACTTTTCCAACATGCCCGTTTGGTAGCACTGAAATGCTTAAAACACTATCAAACTCCTCATGCGGCACTCCTATACCATGCAGGTCCTTTATTTCAGTCACAGCCTTGTCTTCACACATAGGGCTGGATGCAGCAACCAGTATCACAGCAAGCAGAAGAAGTGCACTTCTGCTATAAGCCTTGCCCCTAGCTCTATGTCACACCAACTTGGAGGTTGCCCCAGCAGGCTTTGCTGCTGCTGTTAATCAACATCACCTTCCACTCAGATCACAGTAGTGCACATTCAACTGAAGTTCACGTAATGTATTTCAGGCATATTTAGTATGCATCAGTAATAGTTTCACCACTTCCAACATTCTAGGAACTAATAAAGAATATGCAAAGCACCTGACTGAATATGATAGAATTAAAGCATATACTAACCACCCACTGTTCATACACATATAAATCAGGAAAAAGCTTTCTAGCGTGGGTACTTTATATTAAACCCCAATCCCAAAAGCTGCTATGAAGGCAAGTAAGTGGCCCCACCTTGCATCCTAAGCCTACCAAGGAAATCAGCATCAATATACATTAACTATCACACATTGATGATATGTGGACAAAACCACTGCTCGACCGAGAGCTTCAGAAAGGGGGCTGAAAAAGGGGACTCAGCAAGGAACAACTTCTCTGTACAATAAGCTTATCACTGGCACAAATCTACAGTCCAAAAATGCAGCATTGTTTTAACAGGCCGCAGCACTGATGTTGTCATGCTGTAGCTGTATATTGAGACATTTTTATTCATTTTGCAAAACACCTAAAGTCCCCCTTCTCCAACAAACAAACAAACAAACAAACAAACATAAAAAATAGAAGGTCCAACCTGATGATATCAAGATAACTCAAGCTTTCAAGTAAGAAAGAAGTAAACCTGCATAATTTCAAGATCTATACAAATCATACCAACAAATACTGGTTTAGAGAATTTTTCATTATTTCTCTTAGAGAAAGGCAGAGTTCTTAGAACAAATGTAAAAAGAATCAAGTAGCAACTACCAAGATCCACATTTTTCTGGACTTAAGTGGCAGATGTGCTATCATCAAGGTAGGTCCAATTAACTTGCTTTGTTACTCTGAGTCTGTGACACTAATCACAAAGCACGCATGAATGTGGGCAAAAGTATGCTTGATTTGTCAATTTAGGGGTTTAATCCCAGGCACCGAAAATACACTGGAAAAGATCACCATGCAGATCAATGTGTCTGGGAGTGAGTTGCATCAGTACAGGAGTATTTTTTATTGAAACCAGTCAATATTGATAACACTTCATGCAAGCTTCTCAGTTATGAGAACTTTTACTGAAGCCACATCCTTCAGCAAGGGTGAACTCTCAAACCTTGCATCTTCTATGTAGATTGTATAAGACTGAAAAGAGAAACTGAGATAAATTCTGCAGGCTTACAGCAACATCCTAAGCAGGTTATTCAAAAGTAAAACCCACTGACTGAGCTCCTACTAATGCTTATTCCCTAGTAATGTTATTTAGGCTGACACATAATCAGATTTAAGCAACTCTAGGAGATGTCATTTCCAAACAACTGCACAGAAGCTGGAACAGAAAACATCATGCCTGAGAAGTATGAATGAAATGCTAAATTACAGGAATAAAACATATTTACATATTGCCACCCTTGTTTGGTATAGCTATGAGATCAGAATCTTCCACTTTCTCTTAAGTTAGCCAGAGTTGCCTGTTGTGTCCGAATTTTGTTATATTCTTAACTTATAATATTCTGACAAGCCAGGACCATAAACCATAATTTGATCCTGGTTTATATGAACAACCCATAATTTAAACTGGCATTCTCCCAAGTTTGGGCATAACAAGCAAGCGGAAACTTTTGATTTTCTCATGGCTGTGCCTGTCAAAGGGAAGGGGAAGCATGCAAGTCAAGGAAATGTCAGGCTTATACAAGAAACTAGATCCCTAAAGTGTTCTGTATAGCCTGAAAGCTTATAACATGCACTGTGATTACTAAATGATAACAGTGATTTAATTTACAATCCCTATAAAATACTATTACATTTAGTGGAGTTCACTTCTGGGTAAATATGTTTAAGTTTGCACTGTGTATCATTCTTATGTCTACCTTAACAGGAGAAAGGGTATCTCATAAATTGGTCAGCTGAACAACATAATATCAAATGCACAACCACATTCAGCTGCATTTACAGGGATGAGAGTGGAGCAATACTGCCATCTGTCCAATGTTTTAGTTGCCCACAGTTTAAATAATCTGCCTCTAAGCAAAATAATAAATGTATGGATTTTTTTCCATTTAGCATTACTGTCCATACTTTTCTAAATGCAAAACCTCTGTGAAAGATCAATTTTCAATCAACCTAGCCTTCCTTTCCACTGTATACACTTGATAGAAGAGAAGGGAGTGGGGGAGATATATGGCAAGGAAAAAGCAACAGCAAATATGCTTCCCAAAATCTAATTAAGGGATTTCATAACTGCTTCCAAGTCCATGTTGAAGTTATGTGACTGGATTTTAATTTTAAGTTGTGATAAAATCACAACTAGTTACACAATTTCAACAAGCCACATCATCCTACCTCATTTTGTGGGACCTTTTTATAAATTAGCAGTTAAAAGGAAAGCATTTGGTAGGGTGAGGTGGCATACTCAGATGCAGTGGCTGCCACCAACTCCCTTCTCCGTCCCCCTCTTCTCTCCCACCTCTGTCCAGTCTCATCCTTCATGACATCCATCTCTCAATCCATACAAATCAACTAAAACACATTTAGTTGAGGATTTTGCTTGTCTTTATCGGGAACCCCAGTGGATATCACTCAGTTCCTAGTGACAAGGGACATAACTGCTCCAAGAACACTGAGAATGGGGGGGGGGGGAGTTCTCAAGAAGATGTGAGCCACAGAGCAATGAACGTGCTTTTTAAGTAATTAAAATCCTGGGTTAAAATACGATGGTAAATCCTCCCTCCCGTTTGAGAAAATAATGCTTCGTTACCTCTGCTTTTAGTTATATGTTATGCGCCGATTCTTTCTTGTCGCGTTTATAGACCAATAAAAGGTTATCTTCATGCAAAATTCCCTCCACCCTCAGCGTTCTTAGAACTGTAACCTTGGCACCCGAGGCCTGGTTTAAAATCCAAATGAGTTCCTGGCAAAGGAAGAGGCCAAAACGCCTCGCTCAGTAATCCTCAGGCCCTCCGCCGCCCCAGCTCCCTTATGTCCATACATCTACGGCCACCCCGCGCGAGGACCCGGCGCCTACTTGAGCGCGGGGCCGCTTACAGCTGTTTACCCAAGGGACGCTACACACCTTCTCGCAGAGGCTCCGCACTTGGCTTTCGCTCAGCTGCTTGCACTCGTTGAGCTGCTCGATCCATTGGTCCAGCTCCTTCGTGAAGCTCTTGTCCTCCATGCCGGCCCGCCGCCCGCTTAATTTTGAGGGAAGGGAATGCTGGGCGGCGCGGCCAGGGCGGCGTGCTTCGGGGCGGCGCGGGGAAAAGAACGAGGAGGCTGCCGCCTAGGGGGCAGGGAGAGGGCGCGGAGGCCCGGGCCGACGACCAGCAGCCCAACGGCCCGCCTAGATCGCGCGCGAGAAGCGCAGGCCCCACTCGCTCCCTCCCGCCCGCTCCCTCCGGCACCGTGGAATGGCGGCGCTCGCCGCGCTGCGCACTTTCCGCTCGTCCTCACGTCACTTCCGGCACGGAGAGCCGGCAGCGTCCCCTGCTGCGCGGAGGGCAGACTTCGTACGCAATCGCCTTGGCGAGGTCTCCAGTTGCCTACGGCAGGGAGAAGTCTTGCCGGCCGTCTTCACAAATTTGTTGCTGGGCAATAACCTTCCGCGACCAGGTTTTCCCTTGAGGGCGAGCCGGTCGTAAGGCTCACTAAATCCGCTTATGTCACCAGTACATCTCCATGAGCATGCACACGATTACAATTTATGAGGAGGCAAGGCTCCTAAAATATATGCATGAAGTCACGGTATAAACAGGGGCGTTGCGAGGTTATTGAGGCTGCAATTCTATGCATATTTTAACAGAAAAAGGACCCACAACTCCTATCAAGATCTGGAACAAATTTGCCTAATTCTTTAATACTCCATTTCTTTTCACAAAATATTAAGAACAATGTTATATCAGGATCCACTTCAATTTCTAAGTTCAATATCTTACTAATCTTAAAAATAATTATCCAAAATTTCTTAATATTTTCGCATTCCCACCAAATAGGTACCTGGAAATAGGTACCCATATTTCATTCACATCCCCAATATAAATTAGAATATTTATTATCCATACAAAATAATTTAACTACAAGCTTTCCTAACACTCCCCTTGCAACAGCCCCATACTAAGCTTTGTTCATGCCCCTCTTTATCATTAAGCTCCCATATTTCTTTCAGTTCTTTCTCTATTTTATCTATTATATGCTTATGTTGTAAAATATTTAAATTTAAAATTAAATGTGATTACGTACTGAATTAAATGTCAGTTCATAATCACATTTAATTTTAAAATCAGTATTTATTACTGCATGATCTGTACTTTTTATTAGGCCAATATCTGAGTTACATTCTCTAGAAAAAAGATCATTTGATACAAATATACTGGGGGTGCCCAAATGTATACACATTTTAAGAGATGTTATCTATGTATTACTTTTTGAAGTTGAATTATGGTAGCAATATGTGGTATGACGTTCGCTCACAAGATGGCATTAATCCAATGAACTCTAACATCTCCATGTGACAGGCAGGGCAGTCAAAGAAAATGGTGGAAGCATGGTTGTCCTTCAAGGAGTGCAAGACCATTTTGAAGTGGCAAAGTGGTGCTCTCCCTGCCCTTTACCCTCCCTCTTTAAACTTTCATTGCATGCAAGTTCCTGTAAGTGGAGATGTAAGAGTAAATACAATGCACAGGTTGCAGGGAGAAGAAAACATTGACTGTGGAAAATATGGTGGCACTCTTACAATGTAAATGGCTGCTGATGTTATGCCACACCTTGTGTTGATCTGATAAGTAAGTAAGGGCTAAGGTCTCACCATACCTACAAGCCCACTTAGGTTGGAGGGAAGAAGCAGAAAATGCAATCAGGGCACATGCTTACAAAAAGGATCCAAAATGTTTTGCATGCTGAACATTTCTAGAGGCTCCCCCACTGAAGGCTCCTCCAAGTGGCTTCCAAGCTTACTGGCGAGGGTGCTGCTTCAGGCAAAAGCGTTCTTTCATCCTCAACAAGCGCTGCTCGCTCTTTTGCCTTGCTTACTTTTGCCTCTCCTTCCTCACCCAGTCCAGCTCATGCATCTTCTCATGCATCTGTGATTGCAGGAGCCTGTCAGAAGCCCCTTGAGTTGAGAAAGAACAAATGCTCTCTTAGCAGGGAAGCTTATGGGATTCCCTTTCCCACATCTTCCTCCAGTCAAGTTCCCCCGGCTGCCATTTTGCATCTCATGATTGAGGCTTGGCTGGCAGGCAGTGATGTGTATGTGCACCATGCATACAATTGGAAGCTAACTTAGTGGCATATCCTCTGCTCCAGGTGGGAGGCTGCCCTGTCATCGGCTCTTTCTCTCTACCTGCCCTGCGGCCCTGCAATTTTTAAAGTACCAGCATGTGTAGCAACCTTTGCTGGTGTAAAGCAGCATTCCAGCTGTTCTAAATGTAGCAGCACTTTCGCAAGAGCAGCAGTCTGGGGATGCTTATAGGCCAGTCTCTAGTCACTTAAGACCCAAGTGGCTCCGGGGGCACAAAATATACTTTGTCAGCTTCTGCTGATATACTAACTGGGAACCTTCCACCAGGATTATGGCAATGTAGACACGTGGGTACTTTTGAAGGAGGTCTCGAAATGTCGATTACTGCAGAAAAGAGCAGTGGGGAATCTTACTGGCCCTGAATGTTTTGAACATATCATTCCATGACTGTGTCAAATGCATGGGTTGGGAGCCAAGTTTCTGAATCCAATTCAAAGTGCTGGTGCTTCACTTGCAAGCTTAAATGACTTAGAGCTATGTTTCTGTCCAATTTCTGCAGATGAAGTTCAGTGGCGATACCCGTAAGCCCCTGAACTGAGAGACTTACGTGCACCCAATGCAGGGTGAAAGAACCAGTGGAGGCAACTCCCACCTCTGTTCTCCAACTCTGCATCTTTCACTAGATTGGCTTTTTTTTTGCTCAGCTAGGTGTGGTGCCTTGCAGTGGGAGGGAGGGCAGCTGAAGGGGGTTTAAGATAGGTCATATTCTATGGCCACTCCGATCTCCTCCCTTCTTACTGGAATGCCCACTTCCTCACCCCCAGGTTGCTTTTCTGTCATTGGAGAGCAGCCAGGGTGGGAGGGAGCACTGACTTCCAGCTCCAAGTTAATTTTTGCTATTTTGCTTTATTCATATAGTCTTTCAAGGTTATTAGTGTGCAAGTCAAAGCAATGAATATCTGTAACATTGAGTATATAGGCCAGGAAAATTCATCCCAAGTGCAGGCTGTTCACTAAACACAACCAGATGAAAATGAAAAGCATCCCCTCTCTCAAAAAGGGTGCAACAACACAGTACAGCTCTGGAAGAGGCGATGCATCAGCTCAAGCCACTCTATAGTGTCACCAGCTGAAGGCAGCACTGGGATAATTTACGCCCAAGTCTAAAAATAAATGAGGTCTAGCAGATTTGAAAGAGTACTTTTTATTGAATTAACCCAAGTGTCAGGCCTGGGGATGAAGATTTAAAAGGCATTAGTCCTATTTTCCATTACATTGACTGTGTGTGTGTTTGGAGACTATTTATTACATTGTAATTCACCCAATAATCAACATTATCCGAGCAGATTACAAAGAAAGAACTAAAATGCCATACAAACAGTTGACAGGAATATGGTGTATTTAAAGTAAGTGTATTTAAAATAACACAATGCAGTACATTTAAGTTCTCTATTCCATTGTTAACTGATCCCAAACAGTTGAACCTGAAAATTTTTCATGAACGCTGAATGGATGTACCTGTGCACTTCCCTAGGTGTGGAAGAATTATTACAAATCTGGCAAAGCACTTATAACCCCTATGAAATATTGGTTCAGCCCAAAGGGGTAGAACCAAGAAAAGAGCAGGGCAGTAAGAAATTCAAATAAAAAAGAGTGGGAATGCTGAAGAGGAAGGAGCTGCTGTTTATTTAAAATATATGCCGTCCTATTCGCAAAAAGCCTCAGGACAGCTTACAGCATAAAACAAAACATAAATAAATTCCCGACCCACACTGGCTGCAGTTAAAAACATAGAAAAGACAATATTAAAACTTACTGAAATATTGCTAGAATATAAAGGTCTTAACCTGGTGCTGAAAAACATGTAATGACGGCACCAGGCAGACCTCTCTGAGGAGCGCATTCCATAGGCGGGACGCCACCACAGAGAAAGCCCTCCTCCGGGTACTTTGCCTCCTAATATCTTTCACGGAGGGTTCCCGGAGAGCCTCTGCTGCCGATCTCAAGGGGCGGGAGGGCAAATACGGAAGAAGGCGTTCCTTCAGGTATCCAGGTACCAAGCTGTTGCCACCAAGGTCTTGCTGACTTGGTTTAAGTAAAATTCCTACATGTTTGTGTTGGGGGGGTTTAATCCACATAATGAATCCATGTATATACAGTTGAATTGGCATTTTATTCCAGGGTTTTGAGGATTCTGCACATGCAGCTGACTCTGTGTTCAGACCTGTTGAAGACATTTTGCATTCCTTCGTTTTTGTTGTATTCAAAAGGATATGTGAACTTTGTGACTCTACAGCCAGTTTTATTTGTATTAGTGCCAGGTACTTGGGTGCATGGGTTGTAGTATTTTGTTATTATTATAAAATTGTTCGTGCTGTTTTGTTATGAAAGTGTTGATAAGAAGAGGTTCATTTTGTATGCTAGGTTGTGTTGCAATCTTCAGTAGGAAACAGCCTCATAGAATCTAGCAGTGTTACACACTCAGGGGTGATTTGTGACACAGCTGCAAATACTGGTAAAGTGGTGATATACTTTTCTAACATTCTGTAGAAATATGCTGTTGTAAGGATATGCTGTAGGGAAACTGTATCAATAGAAATATTGCCCCAAAATATTCCTTTACCCCAAATCCCCTTATTGAGATACTAAACACACATCCCTTTGGTTTGTCAGTCTTTTGAGGTGACAAGCTTGCATTTTTCTCCTAAAAACTCTTCCTTAATTTATTCAGAGTATCACCTCAGCCCATATATTCTCAGTGTTTCTAAGCTAGCAGAAGCATGGTCAAATCTTTCTGTGAGTTTGTATATTAGTCAGAATCCCAAGGTTTTGCTTAACATATGATTTTATTGAGATTACTTATACATCTAAATATTTGAGATTAAATTTTGTAATTCCTATAGACTGAAACATCCAAATTAAGAACATATCTAGACTGTTAAAGCTGTTTTTATTTTAAACTATTATTTACAATGCACAATAAACAAAAAGATGGTTAACTTTCCATAGATATGAATTGAATAATAACTGTAG